AGAGAGAGAGGGAGAGAGAGAGAGAGAGAGAGAGAGATGGTCATTTTTATGTAAAGCATGCAATACAGTTCAGTAGAACAAACAGTGTACTTGTATTAGGGAGCATCCTCATTCATTCATCTTTTAAAGTGAACCTACACTTTGCCCATTCAGGGCTTCAATGTGATGCCTTGTTACAATTTGGCAAAGTCAGGGTTAACCCCCAAAAAGGGGCACTTGCACTTCTTTATCCCCAGCAACAAAGAAGTAAATTTTTCATACACTAGTGGGCGAGGAACCGAACAACTTGCGCCTGAGACGCTGAATTCTAGCGTGTGCCGTTCACCGTCCCCTGCTGGGAAGATTAAATAGATTCGGTTACAAGGATGAGTTGTGCTTTTGTCCTAAACATGGCATGTCCCTTGCAGTGACGGAAGGAGTGGCGGGAGGAGGGGGAGCTTCCTAAAATAACAGAAGAGGAAGGAGGATACTATTAATTTGTTTCAAGCATGAGGAGGAGTGCCACCATCTGGGAGTCCCTGTTTAGTCCTATTAATGCTCCTAATGTGAGGACATCAGGAACTAATTGCCCCCCAAGCCTTGCCCTCCCTCGGAGGCAGCCGGCCAAGCCCCTCACGTCGCCGTTAGCAGCTGGCCGGGAGAGGATTAGCACAAACACTCTCAGGTGGCGGGGAGGGAAGAGTGCAATGCACGTTTCAGACAAACAAATGGGACCAAGTCTGCCGCTTGGCGATACGGGCTATTCCCGAGTACAGTGCACACAAGACTGGACCTGTTAAAGAGCACCTGTAGTCACAGGACTTTAAAAGGAGTAGTGCAAGAGTGAGAAGCTGTACCTGGTTCTTCGGGTGACCTATGTACTCCAATATTCTGGAAGTCTCATGTCCAAAGCGGACTTCCAGTAAACTTACTAAAGCGACCGCAGGCATGAACCTACAGGATGTCTGAACATGTTTTCAGAGCCCCTGGACCCCCGAAACCTCTCCTTTAGTCCCACTCTCATCTTTGTAAAGCACTCAGAACATAGGGCCAGTTCCCATCACATAGTATTATGTGACTATTCCAATATTGCAAAAAGCCAATGACTGAGCACTGTAGAGTTTGTGGTTCTGTGTCCATTTTTCACTGAGCGACCATGTGGGTTTTTGCTATAATGGAGGATTTTTGTGTCCTGCAACAGGTGGAGCCAAGTTCTCCCTGTGCATGCATGGTTTTCCTCCAGGTGCTCCAATTTTTCTCCCACACTCCGAAGACAAGCTGGTTAGTTAATTGGCTCCTGTCTAAATGGCCCTAGCCTATGTATGTATGCATGCAACATAGGGACCTCAGATTGTAAGCTCCTTGAGGGTTAGTTCTCATCATAAACTGCATCACAACTGCGTGCGTCTGCACAGTTGCATTGCGATCCCGGTTTGACTCGTTTGTGATGCGTTCCGCTGCAGGTTTTTTTTTTTTAAACTAAAATGCTAATTAAACAATTAGGTCACTTCCTTTTTCCTTTCAGAGCATTTCCTTTGTTTGTTTTGGAGCTCAGACCTGCTTTCTTTGTTGGCAGGCATGTTGATAGTGTTGGCTGTAGCCATTCTCAAAGAGGAAGTTCCTGGATAATGACATAATAAATTCTGTGGGGGGGTTTTGGGATGCGTTCCGGTGTGTTTGCATGCGTTCCGGTGCGATCCGATGCAGCTAAAATAGGACGAGCAGTACTTTTTCTGACTGCCTCTGAACGGACTGCAATGGTGTGAATACAGCACGAGAAAGCCAATAGGAAAGCATTGCAATGTATTTTGGCTGCAGCAGCCAAACTGAACGGACTGCATCACAACTGCATATGGTGTGAACTAACCCAGAGGGTAAGGACTGTATGTATTGTATAGCACAGGGGTCAGCAACCTTAAACACTCAAAGAGCCATTTGGACCCGTTTCCCACAGAAAAAAAAAAACCGGGAGCCACAAAACCCCTTTGACATCTAAAATGAAGATAACACGGCATATATCGTTTTTTAGCTGTATGTATAGCATGTACTGTATATAGACACATGTGGGCTTCGTAACGCACTGGACTCAGGGCTTCCCCAAGACCCCCGCAGAGCCCACCTGAGAGTGACCCTGCATAGCACAACGTAGACCCTGCACTGCCGCATATTCCACCGGGGGGGGGTGCCCAGACCGAACCTCACTAGGCCCCCCCACAGCCTTAGGCCCTGAGGCCCTGGTGGTAGATCCACCTCTGAGCAGGAAGCCGCAGCAGAGGGATTAAAGAGCCACATGCGGCTCCGGAGCCGCAGGTTGCTGACCCCTGGTATAGCATGTAAAGCGCTGTGTAAATTGTTGGCGCTATACAAATACCTATAATCAATTAAATTAAAGGATAAGTGCAGTTATTCTATTGGCCTCTTTAAGCTGACCTAATTGATACCTCCTTCCCCGTGCACAGATGTATACTTACCGAGTTCCGATGGGCGGGCCTCCATTGTTTTGTTTACATCCTGAGGAGAAAGTCTCCCTCTGCTGGCCGCAACTGCGCAGTATATCCCCATTGACTTCTATTGTATTCATCTACCTCCATCTCCTGACCATGAGACAGCACCATAGAAGTCAATAGGGATGTACTGCACAGGCGCACTCAGGAGAGGGAGTAGTTCACCGCAAGATGTAAACGAACAACAGAGGCCGGGCCCGTCGGATCTCGGTAAGTATTCATCTGTGCACCGGCAGTGAGGGACAGGGAAGATGTATTTCTACTTTTGCAGTCAAATTTGAGAAAATCCTTCTATAATGTCTGTTTTGTATTCCTAAACACACACACAGCACATACAAAAATAAATTTAAAAAAATATTTCTTTTTGATGTGTCTGTGTAGCAGGCCTTTGCAAGCTTCTCTTAATTTCCAAGTGACAGGAAACTTTGGCTGTTCCAATAGAAAGACTAGGGACAGACTGAGCTTCCTCTCATTAAACATGTTAACATTAACCTGCCCAAGCCCCCCTTGCATTCCAGAGCAAAACGTGGTACAGAGAACAACTTTTATTTCAGAATAGAGCATGTGTTGTGCAAGCAGCAATAAAAAAAACAAAAAAAAACCGTAAATGAGAAACATAAGACGTATAAAATAGCTGCTATCCCAATTTGGCTGCAATAGTGAAAATACACTTTAAAAGGGCTCCACAGGTCACATGGAGGAACCAGAAAGAGCTATGGGGGTCACAGAACAACTCTCCCGGCAGACCTTAAGGGACCATTTCTTAGAAAGGGAACTTAGAAAGGTTCATTTCAGAGGTATGCGTAACAAAGGAGGTTAGTATTCTCTTCTCCCTTATAAGTATGGACTTTCCAAATGTTTTTCTTAAGTGACAGGGTCTCTTTAACATTGAGAAATGGAGGCAAAAACAAATGTTCTAGGTATATTTTCTTTCAAGCTGAATGTAATATCTGGGAAATACTCTATTATGACCACAAGATGGAGCTGACGAGCAAAGGACATAAATCCAGCTTTCCTATGCTCCTCAGCTCCATCTAGTTGCCATAATGCAGTATTTTCCTTATATTACATTCAACCTGAAAAGAAAATATACAAAGGACATTGGTTTTTGCCTCCTTTCACACCGAACAAACATTCTTGGGGTTTCACAGGACAAATGGCTTTGCAAATTGTTTATAAATACACCCCTATGAGGACCGTTACATCAATATGTAAATGGGGGGTCCAGTGGTCATGCATGGGCGCGACAATACTTTTTAAAAAGATGAGCAGTCTATTTTCAATCAACTTTATTTCTAACAAAGTGTTTGTATGTAATAACCCAGAAATCAGGAGTATGGATTGGCATGGACTCACCTCTTGCTCCATGTCACCATGAAGCTGAAGAAAGACTCTGGAGTCAGGGCGGCTTCCCCCTATAGGTAGTACACTGCTGAGCAATTTATGGTAGAACTCCACAAGATCGCAGCTTGGGAAGAATATGATCATCTTAGGTTTCTTATCACACTGCAGAAACACAAGAAACAGACCATGAGCAGTCACTAGCAATGCATATAAATAGTGACTGATTGTGATAAGGACAGAATGGACAGCTGCCCGGGGCCCCAGACACCAAAGAGGACTATAGCAGCCTTCTAATCCCTCTCAGTAAAGGATTCCTTCAAGATTGTCAAATGATCACACACAAAATATATGCTGCACATGGAATCAGGAAATGTGTATGTTGGCTTTTATGCATGATCACATTGCACTGGTGGGGGTGCCCATGAACCAAATACAACCGAGGGCCCGAGGTACAATTACCCCACCACTACATATAATGTGCATAAGCTTGTATTATGATTTTCAGGAAATGGAGTATAGCCATAAATCCCCCTGCATTTCTTCCTATGTGTTAATGTCCAGACCTGTCACTACATTCCCAAGCATTTCACTGTAGCCTGTTGGGAGGGAGTGTGGGTGTATGCCCATGTTACAGGAGGGGGCAGACAGTGTTTAGGAAGCCAATGTTTGATAGTGTGCATGTCCCTCACTGAGTGTGCAAATGAAATGCAGGTTTATATTAAAAGTAGAAAATAAAAAACACTACAACCCTCCTATTATGTCATTTAAAAGGAGAACTATGGGGTAAGTGTTTTTCCCCATACTTCTCCTAAGGATCACGGAAGGACACAAACTAGCGTCCTCCCGTGACCCAAAGCTCAGTATATCGCGAGCTACAGCTCGCGGTATACTGAGACTGCCGCAGCCGGGACGGATCCCGACATTACTGTCGAGATCCACCCAGCTGCGTGATTGACAGCCGGCTCAGCCTATCTAGAGGCAGAGCCAGCTGTACCCGCCCCCCTCCCCCGTCCGTTCCGCCAGTCAGGGCTGGAGGATTGGACAGGAGAAGGGGGGGAATCCCTGCAGGGAGCCGTGAGTGACAGTCACGGCTCTCTGCAGGGACAGGATCGAGAAGTGAGCGAGCGACGGTATGTGTTCGCTCACTTACCAATCTATTGAGCCGACGTGTGACAGTTTAATTGTCACACGTCGGCTCGAACTATGAGGATGAGTGATTTTCACTCACCTCATAGTCCCCCTTTAAGTATTCATGTCCACCATGTAATACTGCACAGTAAGGCTTTTTTTCCGAACAAATTACACACTTAAAGGGTTGGTTCACCTTTACATCACTTTTACTAAAAAGGTTTAAAAAAAAAAAAAAAGACGCTTCATTTTCAAGGTTGCGTTGGGCAGTCCTAATGCATGGACAAGGCAATTTGCCTTGCTCACAATCGGCACAGTTCAGTGCTCTGGTCTGCGCTGAAAATAAATAAATACTGCATGCAGTGCTTTTTTCAGTGCAGTGTGGTGCAACGCAATCCACTGCACAGAGGCCAACAGAACTAAATGTCATTTTGTAACAGTATAATAACGTTCTTTGGAAAAAAAAAAAGTTACAAATCGATGCGCTGGTGTGAATGGGCCCCTTAGGCAAAAGGCCACTTCAATGCCACCAGTGATGATCAATGACATTTCAGGTACTGCTTTCCTTTCTCCAGCCCCGGCAGCTTTTTTCTTGAGCTTAGATATTAGAGACCACATGCTCCACCAATTTCCAGTGTCCAGGTTATCATGACAATATCTTACCTTCCATTTTCCCAGGATAAATGCAGCCAATGTGACCAGCTTTAACTTGCTGGGGACCACTACAATATGCTGGCTGAGCTTCTCTGGCAAAGCAAAGCTGGCATCGTCATCACCAGCCTCAATGGCTTTCTTTGGTTCAACATCAGTGTTTGAATCTTCTGTGACTGTCACATTCACCGGGTTTTGCAGACTTATGTCAGCCAGCCGGGTCACACCTGACGGCAGAGAAGATAAACCATGGTAAATAGTAAAGAGAATTGATGGAGTTACAGGGGAAACAATTAATACCAAAGTACATCTCTGTGCAAAAGGGGCAGTCATATATGTTCATTTAAATATGCTGTGCATGCTAATTACTAAGCACAGTAACTGTGCTACTCTTATGCCAATGCAAATCGATCAGTCCTTTCAGGTGGCTTGAAAATAATGCGACTTCTAGCTGGCTTATTCTGTAACTGGTTTGCTCTCAGTGTTTGCTTAGCAAAGGGTTGGCATTTCACATGTCTGACATACAAGTCTATGTGAAGTTGAAAACTGTCCGGCTAGGTAGGTATAGCTTCCTTTCATACTTTTTTGTTTTTAAATGAAATATAGAAATGTGTAGATTAGCACTAGAAGGAGCACTAAGCAGTTTAAAGTGACATTAAAAGGCAATTTTTTTTCCCTTCAATGTTAGTGTCACGACTAGGGATGATCCAAACACCCCCATGTTTGGTTCGTATTCGAACATTTGAACCGCCAAAATGTTCGAGTACGAACTCAAACTCAATGCAAGTGTATGGGGGTCGAATGTTCGACCCCCATACAGCTGCCGGTACATGCGGCTGCAGCGGCCTGTGTGCCTTCAAATCCCCGCTGTTCTCCCCGCCTGTGTTGGCGGAGGCAGCGGGAACACAGACTGCTGCATTGCTCCGCTGCCCCCGTACCTCTGCTGCTGTCTTCCCCTGGTCCGTCGGCTTCTCCGCTCCCCAGTCCGGCCGCAGCACCTCTGCCCCGCCCCCCTGCCTCCTCTTCATTGCAGGCTGGGAGCCATACCCAGCCTGGTATTGGATATTGTAAAATGCAATAGCCAATTGCAAGCTGGCTATTGCACCAGCCCACTGTCTGCTGTCAATCAACATGGGGGACATGAAAGGAGAACTTTCTCCTTCAGGCCCCTCCTCTGCTGAGCCCTGATTGGGCAAAGCCTTGCACCTGATCAGTGGTCAGGTGCAAGACTTTAACAAATAAGAGCTTCAGTGGGCATTTTGTATTATGGAATGTCCGCGGTTGAACAAACCGCCGATATTCGATTCAAACTCATGCTCGAATCGAACACTCGGCCCATCCTTAGTCATGACTTACCTTAAATGATGCCTCTTTATTTGACCTTCTTCTTTCCTGTCCTTTTCTGCTGTCCCTCCAGCGCTGACTCCTCTGTCCTCATCTTCTCTGCTGTCCCACGGAGCTGCTCCATAGACTTACCTTGTGACTCTCCTCGTCTCCCGAACATCTGAACTGCGCATGCGCCCGCCCCAAGATCTTTGCGGCTGCCTGAGACTCTTCAGATGTTCGGACAGGAGCATGTGGCGAAGACACAAGGTAAGTTTAAACCCGTTTCAAAAGATTTTGTTTTTGCATATATCTACTGATTGCTAGCAGTAGATATATGCAAAACAACGTGAGGGTTTAATAACCCTTTAATGGAATTTATTTGCTTCTGTTTAACTACTGCTGAGATAAGATATAACTCAAAGCATGATCCAAAGTGACGTTCCTGGGTACCATCGGAGGGTAGCCCTGTTTTCCATTTGAACCGACTAACCAAAGCCAGTGAGCTTTCCAAATGACTGTCTTTCACCTTTACTGTTCTGTATGAAGAAACATTGAAGTCCCAGCGCCTTTTGGATGAATCCCTTTGAGAAAAGATTTTAGGCAGACAAGGAATGCATTGTTTTCTATGAGCTGGGCACCTCATAGACGTTCAATGTGAAAGGCCAGTAAAGCACAACCATTGAGCAGCTCTCCTAAGCAGGAAGCAGAGCCTACGTATGTAATGAGCAAATATGGCTGCCCTTACGTACATACATACAATTACATAATGTACAAAGAATCCAGTTTTTTAAACACATAAAAAACACATTGTTTAAGTCAAATACATTAAGCTGATTTCAGGTACATGTATATCTAATAAAACTATAAAAAGCCTAAACATTCCCTTGGGGGTACCCATAGGCAAGAGATTACAGTTACCCAATCCAAATAGTTTCAACACGATCTAGGAACAATCTCATGTCTAGGAGTGCCCACAGATGCCACCTGTCTGCCTCTACTGGATGGAACGAGGGGTCAGATAGGTGAGAAAACACTCACACCTTCCCCCTCACCTCCTCCAATAATAAATATGTGCTCTGCAGACTTGTTAGGCCAAAGGAAAGAAGGATTTTGTCTTCACCAAACCCTTTCAAATCTATGGTCAGCTATATAAAGACCTCTTGCCCTCTCCTTGAATATCCCTATCCTTCGTCCCCTAGTTCTTGGCTTTTGTTTTACCCTTATGTGGTGCATTGTCTGTTTGTGCTCTTCTACCCGACTGCTCTTTACTTTTCTACAGGATTCACGATAAGTAGACCCAACCAGGCTTTCAGCACCTTGTCCTGGTTTCTCACCCTTAAAAGCATTGCATATCCCAAAAAACACAGTGAAAATACAGACATCGCCTATCCCAATATGAAACATTTCCCTTTACAATGAAGAAACCAAAAGTCAACTCGGCATGCCCAACCTTGGCTCAGTGTGGCCGAGAGTAACACGTTCTGTCTTTGCTGGCTCTGGGAATTGATGGCGTTCAAAATGGTGGTGACGTCTTTCTGAAATCCCAGGTCCAGGATTCTGCAAAAAGTAGAATGAGAAAGGCGTGCTGAAGAAACATTTAATTCAACAATAAATGGTGGTGTGCAATCAATCGAGCTATGAGGACCATGTATGCAGCCTATTTCTTCCTAATGGCCTCAACTGGTTACTTTGCTGATAAATAAAACATTAAAAAGCAATCCCTGTAGCTGTTAAACTTGTTACATTATATCAGAGGTTATCAACTTACAAGTTATATGGGTCCTTCAAATGTGGCCCATGATATCTCCAAAAGAGCCACATACAATATTTATTGTATGCACTGCTATTTAGCCGATGTTTTTTAGGGGACTCAGATGCAGTTTGAGTGAAAAACCATAGTTAACTATTTATTTATTGAGACTTTATGAATCCTGCACCTAATTGCATTTTTTTGCTGTAAAGACAGGGTATGTTAATGTTTAGATCAGCGGTCGCCAACTGGTGGTCTGCGAGAAAATTTTGGTGGTCCCCAGGCACCTCTTGATGCTCTGCAGGCCGGGTCGTCATTGAAGTGGCACAGAGGCTCCAGGGCTGCCTTTCACTGACTCAAGCAGCGGCTGTCACAAGGAATGCGCGGCTCTCAGTACAGTGCGGGCTCTGCAGGAGGCGGAATATGTATGTGTATACATACTGTATGTATATATAGATATATTCTCATATGTTTTGTTTCCTCATATATAAATATATTCTCATATGTGTATGTGTGTGTGTCAACATGTAAGAGACAGTCAGAGACTATATGAAACTGTTAGAGATTACTGTAGAGTCAAACTGTTTGGGGGTGTGCAGTGCTGGCATTTGTTGCTTTATACAATTTTTTCATTGTTATACTGGATTTGCCGTGAATTTGAATAAAGTCTGAACTATTGCAATTCTCTGGATATTGCGGACTGTTCTTATACTGTTAGAGATTACTGTTATTAAAGGGATTAAAAGGACCCTTGATAAATCAATGCTCCTACTACTGACTGCTATGGCCTGAGGGCTGCACTTCAGACCCCAAAGAGCTGCATGTGGTGTTTGGGCCACAGGTCGTCCACCAGGGAATTATATAAACTGCCACAAGACTCATAAGGTTCCTAGGGGTGCATACATGTGAATAGGGATGGGCTATGATCTAACCATCCAGCAATGTCAGCAAAACATCTTCCTGTTTATGGTTTGCATTAGTAATGTAGTGTAATGGCTGTATTGTACTGTGCCTTTATGTCAGGGTAGGCTACCCAAACAGCCCAGGCAACAGATTTTCACTGCAAACAATACAACATCTGAGCTCCGTCATTTTCTTGCACTAGCCATTTAGTAAAAAAGCTGACTGCACCATCTGTCATATAGAGCACCTATAAATCTAACACAGAGAGACATTTAAAAAAAATATGCTGTCAAATAATTTCTTAGTCATCATTAAAGACACTTTTTTTTTTAATAAAAAGGAAGAAGAAAAAGGTTATTTTTCTAAGACAAAGCAGCGACCAATCACCTGTCTGCTTCATCCACTATGAGCCATCTGACGCGTGTGAAATGAATGCTCTTAGTTGAGTTAATATGATCGACCAGCCTCCCCGGGGTGGAGATCAGGATGTTTATCCCCTTTCGTAACCTAGAAAAGGACACAGTGATATTAAAGGCTCCATTAGACCTATTCTATAGCAATCATCCATCCCTATCCTGATGGTAAAATAGGCCATTCACTTCCTGAAAGAAATCCCATGCATGCCCTCTCTAGTGGCAGTCATGTGACCAAAAACCACCAAACTCTCAGCACAGAGGAGAACAACATTAATGGACATAACCGACTGCACTGGGCACCAAAGGGAGGACAGAGCAGCAGTGCATCAGCCCTATAGGGCAGGACAGACATGAAAAAGGTAAAACCCAGGACAGGATATGAGCAAAAACACATTTCAATAGCTGAAATCAGGGGTATGGAGGACCAGAGCTACGAGACAAGGCTACTAAATTTAAACATGTTCACATTGGAGGTGAGGAGATTAAGGGGGGATATGATTTCCATGTACAAAATGTTCAATGGTGACAGCAACATTAGCGATAAACTGTTTAAAATTAACTCCATTACAAAAACTAGAGGCCACCACCTAAAATTGGTGGAAAAAAATTTCCAGCACAATGGGCGAAGGGGGTTCTTCACAGTAAGATCAGTTAGGGTCTGGAACTCACTGCCGCAGGCGGTGATTTCAGCAAAGAATGTGGAATTGTTCAAGAAACTTTTGGACGATTTCTTAAGGGACCGTAATAGACAGGGGTACAGGTAATATACAGGGGTATAGGTACTCCTAGAACGAGATCCTAATAGGTTGGACTTGATGGACTAATGTCTTTATTCAACCTCAAATACTATGTAACTATGTAACTATACAAATATATTCTTTTTTGGAAAGCAGCCACAGCCTGAGTAGAAAAGCCTGTCCCCTTTCCAGTAGGCTGCAGAGAAGGAACCATGCTCTTTGTGTGGAAGCGGTGGTCTTTCTGCAAAGGTCCGACACCCCCCCTTGTGAGTCAGACTTCAAGCTCTACAATCAGCACAGCTCATGCTCCCTTCTGATAAGAGAGTTCCATCTCTGACTCTAAAGGGGGGTGTGTCAGACCTCTACAGAGAGACCACTGCTTTCACACAAAGAGCAAGGCTCCTTTTCTACAGCATTGTTTTTTAAGAATTGTGGTTTATTTTACAAAGCAGGGGATGCAGTACTAGGAGGGAGACTCCAGGGCAAGGTGGGGAGAAGGTGGAAACTTTGGCAAGGAGAGTGCACACCAGAGTCCCTAAGATATACAAGCTAATGGAGTCCACCTGTAACCTAAATAAGGTTTGGGTGGACTGACTGCTTAAAAGAAAAATGTCCACACTGAGCAGGCCGCCATTACCTGGCTTTTTCGGATTTCCTCTTCTCTCCTCCCATTAAAACTCCTGGTACAATCCAGCTGTATGGCTGAAAACAGCACAAAACAAAGCGTTATCACACGGGAAAAGGCTTGTATGCATGCACATCTGATTTATTTCTATGAAGCCATTGTCAAGATTCTGGAAAGCCAATACATAGCTTTAAAAAAATGGCTATTCTAAACACATACATTCTTGGCAGCCATTAGCATTTATAAAATGTAACACTGGGGGACATTTATCAAGCAAATCAATGACAGTTACTGTCGAGATCCACCCAGCTGCGTGATTGACAACTAGCTCTGCCTATCTAGAGGCAGATCCAGCTGTGCCCGCCCCCATCCGTTCCGCCAGTCAGCGCTGGAGCATCGGAGTGGGGAGGGGGGAATCCCTGCAGGGAGCCTTGAGTGACAGCGTGGGCTGTCTCCGCCCCACACACCGCTCTGCCGGACTGTATAGGATGCTGAGCGGTGTGAGAGGAGAGACGCCAGCCGCTCACAGCGCTCTCCTCCCGCAACGCTCGGCCGCCTGTGACAGTATCTCTCCTCCCCGCTGGGACACAGAGCAGCGCCCAGCGGGGAGGAGAGAAACCAGGGATGCACCGCTGTATCGGCCAGAAAAATTGCACTTTCGGCATTTAGCCAAAAGTGCCATTTTCAGACGATATGTTTTGGCGGCTGATATATTGGTGCATCCCTAGTTATTAAAATATGTCAATATATAAATTATCTTATAGATATTAAAGGAGGTGTGAATATTACTGAAGTGGGTAAATTGTGGCCAGAAATGGTTCATTATTTCTATACAAAATCCCCATAATGCAGAACTAAGAATGGGAGTGGGAGAATCAGCACAAGGAGCCATGGGTTGTGGAGCATGCCGACAGGAAAAGAGAGCATACTGACAGGGAGATGAGCTCATCAGTCTGCTTTTTGTTCTATTTACTGTCCAGTTACAGGCTAGGGAAGGCCAAGACCTGAAAGGCTGATAACACAACTACAAACCCCCCCACCCCCCAAAAAAAACCATAATCCCCTGTTGACTCCAAAGGCACCCTTCTGCTGGATATCCAGATTTTTGCCCAAATTTGGAGAACTCTCAATTACTCTCATCCCTATGAAATGGCAAAAACAAAAGTTTATGATCAAATGACACCTAACAAAAAGGTTTCCTGCTTATCCAATCACCTTTTAATACAACCTCATACAATTATCGCAGCTGGATTAGATGACTCCACCAGCTCCTATACAATCCGATTGTACAGGTAGCAGTCAGCTTTAGTGGAGACCTAAATGGAGACTGGTTCTACTGACCTTAAGCAGCTTCTGAACAGTGGTGAAACTCTGCAGGGCCAGCTATGAAGCAGAAATGACAAAACAAAATCAATTCAACTTTCCATCTGTCATTATGGGGCACTGAGCCACAGAAACATTTAGAAATGAATGCAATATTTAGGAGCCTGCGATGTGTTTGCCAGCATGGCAGTACCCAGAATGCACCTCACTACAGGCAACACCAAGTCATATAGAAACGTCTCCTTACCTCTCTTGTGGGGACTAAAACAAGAGCATAAGGTCCATCGCTGCGCTGTAAAAAAGGATGTGAAAAAAGTTAGCAATATTCTATTTAAAAAAAACAAAAAAAAACATTAAAAATAGTATTTGCTACAAATTGCTATTTGTGAGAAATTCGCAATTCAGTAACGAAGCATTTGCCTAAGACTTATAAATACACACATTAGCTGCGTACACACTAGACCAGGGCTGGACATATTCCAGGAGCCAGGTTGGCAATGCTCCTTAAAATTGACAGCTGGCACCAAACGTTGAGGTTTTCTATGGTTGTTATTAGGGATGCGCCGGTATATCGGCCGCCAAAACATAGTGGCCGAAAATGGCACTTTTGGCATAATGCCAAAGTGCCATTTTCTGGCCGCTGTAGTGGTGCATCCATTCTTTCTCTCCTCCCTGCTGGGCGCCGCTCTGTGTCCCAGCGGGGAGGAGAGAAACTGTCACAGGCGGCCGAGCGCTGCGGGAGGAGAGCGTTGTGAGCGGCCGGCGTCTCTCCTCCCACACCGCTCAGCCTCCTGTCACAGATTAGCAGAGCGGTGTGGGGGGCGGAGACAGCCAGTGTTGTCACAGGAGGCCGAGCTCTCCTCCCGCACCGCTCGCTCAGCCTCCTGTGACAGATCAGGGAGCGGCTGTGTGGGTGGAGACAGCCAGCGCTGTCACAAGAGGCCGGCGATGTGGGGGAGGAGTCAGCTGTCAAATCGAGCGCTCCTCCCCACTCCGCTTGCTCAGCCTCCAACATGACAACGTGACAACATGTCTGGATGGAGAGCGAGGTACAAACACTCAGTGATCGCAAATAATCGAGGACAGAGTATGGTTACTATATCCTCAATTATGAATGGGAAGTGATCTACATCACTTCCTGTTCATTCATGATTGTGGTTATAGTAACCATACTCTGTCCTCATGTTATCAATGAACAGGAACACTCAGTATAGAGGATTCATGTTCATTAATAACAGGGGAGTTTTTATATTTCGGGTTCGTTTTTGAAATTTTCATTTCGGTGCACCTCTAGTTATCAATGGAGCTGGCTCCTAAAAAATCCTGCTGGCCCCTGTTTTGGACACATTGACGCCTAATTTCCCCACGGTAGGCTAATTTTCCCGCACTAGGCACAAACTTCCTAGAATGTTTTTTTTCCATTAGGCAGACAATGTATGACACTAGCAGCCAGAAAGTGATCACTTCCATATAAGAGAACTAGTTTGCTGTTGCTCAATAAAAAAAGACTCTGAAAAAGCAGGGAAGCTCAGATTACACACACAGCTTGGGGAGTCAAAGGAACTACATATCCTCTCCTAGAAGAATCAGGGCCTAATAAGCAAGTTTAAAATAGCTGATGAGAAGCATGCGCTCTGTATTAACATTTGTTTTGGTAAAACAAAAAGAAAATATTAAAATTGTCCAAAAACTAATTTTACATTTACTTTAAAAGTACAATAAAGCAAATGTCACATCTGGGGACTTGTATACTGTTATTGCTTGTTTAGGATACACTTACCTGTATTTTAGGGGTTACTGCTTGAAGAGACTGTACAAGGGGAATACCATACGCTAAAGTCTTACCTATAAAGAAATACGATATATATTTAGGCATGTTTCCAATAAAGTGTATCTGTCCTTCATACACATTTTGCACCGAAAGTTCCTTGCTGTTTCTAAGTCTTGTTTGATGGGTTGACCAGTTCGAAGTAAAAATAAATAAATCCGTGTGCACTGCAGAGCCTTACTTCTGAAAATGTACTCCTTCGCCCCATTCAGTCCCATGGGTACTCGAGGTGACCTCCAGAAGCCATGCAGTGTAGAGCTCTCCCCATACTAATGATTGGGGCTGCGGCACACATGGACATTCTGAAGAGGGCCTGGTTGGACATTTTCAGAAGCAGCGCTATGCACAGTGAAGTTGCATAGTGAAAATCACTGCATTAAGGGGGAAGGTGAGTATCGGACCAAGTGGGCTGAATTATTTTAAGGGCAACTTATGCCAAAGGTACAGTTCTCCTTTAAGGACTGAACTAGAAGTGATTTTTACTTGCTCAGTAGCATATGATCAATTGCAATTGAACCCCACTTAACTCAAAGTCTTATATACATGTAAAAGCTAAATGAGCCATTTTTGTAGTGCAATGTTATTAAAGCAATTCCAGAGAACAAAAAACCTCCTTTTACAGTGGGCCTTCCCCACACTGCAAGAGGTAAATGCACATTTGGGTCTAGGGTACCAGGCAACAGGTTTTTTCCTTATGTGATCCTTGCAAGGAACCCCTTCCCTTCTATGTTCTGATGGTTGGAGGCCCGCTGATGTAAACAGGTACAATGCATCAGGATCCATAATCCTGCATTATACGAGGGACAATCCACAAGTTGGAGCGGAGGGGGAAAAAGTGAGTGCCAACTGCTGGGCAGTGAGGATCAGGCTTTTAAAACTGCTTTTCTCAATACCCTAAACCAGGGGTAGGCAAGCTTTGGGGAAACTACAAATCCCATGCATATGCCTCCAGAAGTTAGGCCCGCGGCTGTCAAAGTCTTGCAATGTCCCATGGGACTTGTAGTTTCTCTACAGCTGGAGGGCCAAAGTTTGCCTACCACTGCCCTTAGAACTAAACAAACTTTTAACCCTCACAGTGCAGGGACAGCCCCACTGCAAGGGAAGGTTTTCCTCTGACCCACAACAAGCATTCAGCCAGCTATACCACTCCTGATCTGCAGATTTGTTGCAACTTACCTGATCCTGTCTGTGACCTCACCATGGCATCTTTGCCAGACAAGAGGACCGGGATGGTCATTTTCTGGACACTGGCAAGATAAAGATAGAAAAATAAATTCATATTTTTATTGATATCTCAGAAGCTGCACAGTAAGCACCATATCGCTCATATCTTCCCAGCGGCAATCACTCCTAAAGTGACCACACAGAAGGTGACCAGAGTTGTAATGGCGGGATGGGGTATAATACCACACCTACTGCACAATGTCTGTAATACATGGCTTTCTAAGAAGATGGTACAGATGCCTATGTTTATTCAATAGCTATCCTTTACCCAGAGGTAAGCCTCCACCGGAGACAGAGTAGGGGCACGTTAGAAATTCTGTCAGATTTCTATTGCCATTTTGGGAACTGTGGTCTTGGATTTTGTTCCCTTACTTCCTGCGTGACCACTGAGACAAGAAGCAAGTAATATTTCTTGAAGAGGGGTGTGCACAATAATCAGATATTTTCAAACCACAGCAGGGATGGGTTTGAACCAATATCAGGTTTGTAGTGTTGTCTCTGTCGTCGTTGGGAAAAACTCTTACTTCCTGCGTGGTCACCAGCACAGGAAGTGAGATGAAAGCTCTTCAACAGGGACCCAGACTAAAATAAAACTTGATAGGAGGTTCTTATCCTTTCCTACTTTAAAAAAATATATATTTTAGATAGAGTTGGGCTTGAAATCCAAAACCTATATTGGAGGACATATGGAGGCTGCTAATACTTATACTAATTACTTCCCTGCTGTCATCCTGACCCAACAGCTTCAGTACTTTGTCAGTCACTGGCATGGAACAAGAATGCTGGCGTTTTGAGTTCCCTCTGACTTTATGAACGCTTTGTTGCGGATCAGTGTCTCAGAAAGCAAAGAAGCCAAAGATAGGCAGGCAACTAGCACTTAGTTTTTTACTGGCCCAGGAAGGACATTTTCATGCAAGAAAAACTTACCTGGTCATCTGGGTCATATTCAGGACGTTTGTGATTGTGGCGACCTAGAACAAAAAAAGAGAAAATACCTGATTATGCACTATGCCTACGAAATGTTTAAAAGGTAGTGACTGCACCTGGGAGCAAATACCTGAGAAGGAGCAGCTCATAACCCTGACCTACTGATGCATCTGCACATGTACCCACTCTAGTGCCAATTTTGTCACACACCTGTCAACTAGAATTATTGCTCTCACTGCGACGTTCGTGGCGATATGTAACAAGTGCTGCGTTATTGGCGCTTTTGCGTGTAGGTGCACCTAATGCATTTTTGCGCATCCATGTGGGGGTGGGGGACTTTAAAACATTTTGTGGCTTTTTTTTGTGTGTAAATTTTATTTAACCCCTTCATGACTGAGGCCCTTTTTTTCATTTTTTTGCACCCATGTTATATTCCACATTTTAGGCCTGAAAATGACGTAAAACCCCCCAACATTATAACCAATTTTTTTTTATTTTTACACTAAACTTTATTACTTTATTATCACATAGGGGGATAAGAATCCCCCTACGTGATATCAAATTACAGTGACAGGTCCCCTTTATGGAGAAATCAGGGGTCTCTAAGACCCCTAATGTCACCTAGGGACGCCCAGAGAAGCTGATGAATCACAGATCTGCTTCATCAGCTTCTCTCCTGTTTCTGTACCGGAGAGTGACAGAGGAATGTGGAAGTGATGTAGTAAACATCACTTGCTGCATTCAAAGACCGGGGAGGAGAGCGGAGGGAGGTCGTGTACGGAGGGGGCGCACAGAGACATGCAGCATACAAGCAATCGGGCGTCTTTACAGACGCTGGACCGCTTGTATGTGAGCGGCCATCGCTGGCAGTTTAAAATTCTGTCGGTTTCCCGCTTGTGCGCGGCCACGAAGTACGTTTATAGACGCCCACCCGCATCCAGAAGACTCCCGTCTGGTCGTTTCTGAACGTTCATCGGACAGGAGGTGGTTAAAAACAATTTTTTTTTGTATGTGACCACGTAGGGAACCCAAAGAAGCAGCGATCTGCTTTACCAGCTTCTTCTCCTGGCTCTAGGAGTTGGAGAAATTACACAGTGACACCAGAAGTAATGTAATAAACATCACTTCTGGGGCCAGTGATCGGAGGAGAGATCAGTGCTGATCTCCCTCCGATCGAAGAGGAGAGACCCGCCGTGACAGCGGAGACGGGGTACACGTCAGCGGAGGAGGATGGGCACCATACAAGCAATCCGTCGGCTGTAAAGCCGCCGAATCGCTTGTATGTGAACAACCATCGCCGACTGTTTAAAACGGTACCAAGATTACAGCTGCTGCAGCAGCCTTGGTCTTGGTAAAACTGCTTCAGGAGCGGGATGTTTATCTACGTTCGGCAGTCGTGAAGGGGTTAAAGACACTATGGGTGCACAATTTGTTTCCAAGGTCTTTGCCACTGAAAGAGCCCATAGGATTCCTGCAAGAGCGCCCCCTCCAACCATTATCACTCATATCCTCTACTTCCGAGATAAGGTCACTATCCTTACACAAGATCAGTGTTAAGCTGCCCACACACCTGGCGAACATCGGATTAAACTTTTCGTACGATTTTCGCACGGCGGACCCATCCTGCCCCGATTATCGCAAGGTTCAATAAAAAAAAAAGAAAACACCTGGATGAATTGCGGTCATCGACCACACATATTTCTGTTTGCGCATGAGCAGCGTTAATCCCACAAATTTTGACGTACGGAAACGCCACCAACCTTGCGAAAATCGTACGATCGACCGAAGTTTTCTAACCTGCTGGTTAGTCAAAAGTTGATCGATTGTACAGTATTTGCGGTTGTACACTGCCCATCAACCTTACGAATATCGGACGAAAACAAAATCGCTTACGAAAATCGGCCCATAATCGTACGGTGTATGGGCACCTTTAGGGTTGCAAGGAAGTGTCCAAAAAAATAAGGGGAGATTTCCATAAGCACGAATAAATAAAAGATTATACAGGGTTACAAGGAAGGTTAGTGCGATAAACCTTAGGGTAGGGCATTGCACCCAGTGCTGGAACCGCAAACCAAATTCTGCCTTTATACGTCACTCTACAAATGTATAAACACAAGTTAAAAGTCAACTCAATTAAAAAAAAAAAAAAAGTGACCTACCAGATGTGGGTGCAGCCCAAGCTCAGAAAATGAGTCGGAAGAGAACACGTCTTCTTGTAACGGTTTCACATGTAGACTGTTAAATAATAAGCAATAGAAAACATTAACCATTAAAAGCACAAAAACATAGATACAAGCGTTGTTTCGTCTTAGGCCGCATTCACATGAGAAAAGGCCAGGCCGTACAGCTCCGTGCTGCGTGCACGGCCGTATGGGGCTGCTCCCAGGAAGGACAGGTGCTGCGTGCGATTAGTGACAGGGTTCTTCTCTATGGGAGTACGCGGCCGTACACCGCCCTATGCTCACCGCAATTGCAGGCTCGTATGGAGGCGAGCATGGGAGGAGCTGATGAGGGAGCTGGAAAACAGGAGGTCTTTTGAAGAGCGGAGGGGACGGTTAGGGTGATACTAGGGTGATAGCCGGGGACAGAGTTGTGGATGGCTTTGTAAGTGGTTGTTCATATTTTGAATTTTATCCACAAATCAGGACGGACCTTTCCATCTCTGGAACCTCGGGGTTGTTTTTGAAGAGGGAGGATGTTTTGACAGCCGCCCTTCCCTTCGTGCCATCTTCTTTCTTCTCTCTGTTTTTAGGCGCGGAATCTCTTTTTATGTTTTTGCTGGGTTTGGATTCGGTGGTCCTGGTCTCGATATCTGGAGCAGCCGGAGGAGCTACACGCTTGGAGGAGGGACCTTCACTGGCATCTTGGGACTTCCTTTTCTGAGCTTTGAATTGCTGTCGATTTAAATAAAATAACGGCAGTTTAGTGGTCGGTTTCTCCCAAACTAACGACCGGACACCACTAGGCACCTGTTTTTAGCAGAGCCTAGAAAGTCATTTTTGTGCTCATGCCTGTGCTTCTGTCAGGGCAACTCTCCTCACTTTTCTGTGTTCATGGAACAAAAATTGAGGAGAAACCTTCCCAACAGAAAAACAGACAATAAAAACTGACAGAGGTAATCCCTCCCACGCTCTATGCAAAATAAAAAATGAATACAATGCCTTTTTTCATAAATTGCAACAAGTGTGTATCAGAATCTGTTGTGAAACCAGCCTCCTATAATTCCCTATACAACAGCAACAAAGACTGGGAGGGGGAGGGGCAGTACTCAGAGCCAACAAGACTCTGCTGCAGTGTACATATGCTAGCAGACAAAGTTGAAGAAGCAAAGGGATAACCTCATCAGTCTGCTGCTGTTCCTTCACTGACCAATCAGCAGCCTTGGGCTGTTTTCCTGAACACGCTCTCCTGCCTTCAGGGATATCTGGATCACAAAGGCTGCACAGCTGGAAAGGATAACACAAATGTTGCCAACTAAAGCAGTTGACTTAAATGCATTTCAACTATTGGCCGGGAGTTTAGCTTTAAGATGGCTGAAAGGGTCACTTTAAATCTGAACTCTGAGAATTTAAAAAAAAACCAAAACCCTTGCACTGCAAGGGCTAAAGGCTTGCAGTAGAGGAGGAGTATAGTGTAATACCTTGTTCTTCATTCCAGCAGGTTCCCTCCATCTGCACAGTAAAAATATGAACAAAAAAGCACCAAAGAGGACCGCTCCACCAGAAAATGATTGGCAGAAAAGAGATATGTGTATATATATATATATACACACATATATGAATGTAGTAATAGTTCTGCAGGATGCTGCCCCAATCCAGCCAGGGAGACTGCAAGATCTGGGAATCTCCATCTGCACGACCAGACCCTTGAAGCCTGTTCTCTGAGACAGGGGTAGCCAAACACTGGTCCTCCAGCTGTGGTGAAACTACAAATCCCATGATGCATCTCTCTCCGGGAGTCGTGGCTGTGAGAATGTTGCAATGCCTCGTGGGATATGTAGTTCCACCACAGCTGGAGGGCCAGAGTTTGGCTACCCCTGGTCTAAGACACTCTGGACAGTGTTTGCACGCGGAAGTCATGAAGTACAATGCAGGGCTTATAGCCCTTGTATTGTATGGGAGGACGGTCAGATAAGAGGAGAGCACCCCTTTAACCCCTAGACTAAACAAGGGTTTACCCCTGGAGTGAGCGAGTGTGTGTGTGGTGGGGGTGGGGTAGACTGCAATGGTAGTGTAATATGCAGAGTTCAGCCTTAACACCTCCTGCATAGGCACGTTCTATCTGTACCTGTTTGACAGAAAAATAAAAAATAAAATCTATAAACACCATTACACATACATTTAGCAAACTTACCCACTTCCCTTTGCGTTTCTCTGACTTGAAGTGTTTGGCATCTCTGTGTGATGAAATTGGGGACTCTGTAATATTGAGGATTAAACCCTGATCTTCCATGATTTAGAAAACCCCAAACATCAGCCAGTCCCCCCTAGAATCTCTCTACAATCCCCCCACCGATCTCTGTACAGCACTTCTACTGATCAGCTCCACAGACACATGTGAGCAACACACTGGCCAGGAAGGACCCAGCCAAGGGCTGTCCCAGGAGCGCCTGACTGAAAAAAACATTTTTACTCTTTCAATATCGTAACAGCTCGTTAAAGGCGTCTGTCGGCGTTACATACATGTCTTATTTCTGTTTACTGTCTTGTTATAACTTTTATTAGAAAAAGCCCAGAACCAGACGTGCCTGCTATACTTTTGGAAAAACGCTGGTCTTCGACAAAATGGCTGCCGTAGCAAGTTTCGGGGCATAGGAAATGAGCTATGCAATTCACAATTGTTTCATTGTTACCAAATGCCGAGTAATAGTGGCAGTGATCATAAAATGAGGACAGAAACACTAAATAAACACTGATGCCCAATTATAAATAAAATATTACCCTTAATAATACATTACACACTAATATATTATTATTTATTATTATTGCCATCATCTTTATTATGACATGGTATGCAAATAAAAACAATAATATTAAATAAGTTATAAATACATGTTTTTAAATGGTTAGTATTATTAGGTAAAAAATGATAATTAATTAAAATAAATAACTGATGTATTACTATTATTATTTTGAATTTAAAAAATCATATGGAAATAAATTATAAAACACATATATTTTAATTATTGGTATTTATTATTATGTAAATTACTTTCATGTATTATTATTGTTAATAATATGTATTAGTATTGTTTTATGTTGTCTTTATTATTATTATTACACTGTATATCAATAATAATATAAAAATAAACGATAAAGAAATGTTTTTAAAATTATTAGTAT